CCAAACCGTGAGAGAGAGAGAGATAGGGGAGAATTGAATTCATCTAGAGATTGGCTTGAAAATTTAGAGGAATTGAAGGAGAATTGCATTTTTGAGCTAACACACTTGGAATTCAAGACTTAAGGTAGGAAATTTATTCTCTTAATTATGAATTTAAGTTGTTTCATGCTTGGTTTATGGAAAAATTGGTGATTTGAGTCAAGAATTAGCTTAAAGTGTTGATTTGAGAGTGAATTCATGCATGCATGTCCATATCATAGAGTTTGAAGTTATTTTTCATGAAATTCTTACATGCATGTTTGCATGTTTATATTTTAGTTGTGGTCCAAGAATTCACCATGTTTTAGAGTTCAATCTTGCATTTGATCATGTGTTAGAAGCTTTGAATTCAAATAAACACATGCATGGCATATTTACATCATGTTCTTGAATTTTGGGTTGGATTTGCGTCCAATTGACATACTTTTGGGCTTTGATTTTATAAAATGATCTTCAAAACATGCTGTATTATGAGTTTCTTAGTGTTTTCCAGAAAATTGGCCAAAAAGGATGAGTTTTGGCATGTTTGATTCTTGGTTTGAGCTTTGGAAGCAAATCTGAAAAACTCAGATTTTGGCTTCTACGCTCGAGCGAAGGATTCTACGCTCGACCGACCACCTTTGTGTTCAGAGCTCCGCTCGAGCAACGGAATGCTGGCTCAAGCATAGATTGCAAGCTCTCAGGTTTTTGCGTGTGCAGACGCACGCTCGAGCGACGAGACCTACGCTCAAGCGAGGAACTGTGTCTCATGCTGGAGAGAGCATCGAGTGGAGAATTTCAGCAACCAGTACTTTTTGCATTTTTACAGACCGCTCGAGCGAGGGAGTCTACGCTCAAGCGACCTCTCTGTTTTGGTAAGCTCGCTCGAGCGGAGAAAGCCACACTCGAGCGAGACCCCTGTTTTCAGCAAATTTTGAAAAGTGTTTTAAAGTACATTTTTGCATCCTCATTCCATCCTAGGCATTCCTAGGCCATGTTTAAGGCATCTTAATGAGGATAATGTTATAAAACCACACCAAGCCAAATAGGGGCTAAGTTGTTAATCCCGAGTGTGTACTTAGTGTGTGTTCGTTCTACTACTGTGTAGGGTTGGCACTCGAGGACGCTGATTAGCTTGCCTATAGCCCAGTCACCCGTGAGTAACAATGTTATAAAGATATGTTCAATTATGATTATTTTCTGAACGATTGACTGTACTGCTTTCCGAAATAACATTGTTTACTGAATGAATGTTTGTCCTATTTGTAAACTGTACTCCTGGCATTCATAGCAACTTACTGTTACTGTTACTATTACTACTACTGTATTGTTACTGTTACTGTTATTGCTACTGTTACAGAGATCTCTGTCAGTTCCAATGTTTGGAACTACTACTGTTTACTGTTTGATGGCCATCAACTGACTGTTTGGTCTATTACGACCTACTGTACTGTTCTGTTATTGGATATACCACGTATGACTGCTATGATTTCTAATTGACTGATATGGCATGAAATATGAGCCACTGATTGAATAACTGATCTACTGATGTAAATGACTGTTTTAATTACTGAAAGGACATTCATTCTTAACCTCTTTACATTGTTGTTATTCACTGGGCTTTAGCTCACTGTTTATATATGTATGTAGGTGGCCAGGCACCGGACCGAAGCTAGGAGCGTCAAGTTACGCTCATGTTTTGTCAAGCCAACCATTGTGCCTCACTTAGAGGTTCCGAGTCTTCTCAAGCCAAGGCTGTTTTGGGGTGCCTTAAATTCACCCTTTTTGTCTCTATTATGTATCGACTGAATAAGACTTTTGACTATACAGTTATGGTGTAGGGGTTGAATCCCTAACCTGCATAATATGTGTTTATATATGTATATGTGAATGTGTTCATAAAAGTCTTTTCCATTCAGGTTTTCACAGCTCATTGGACATCTTTTATTTACTGTTTGGCTTCCGCCAGCCCCCTTACTCTGTATTATTGTCATTACTGTTAAGCAGGCCTTTGGTAATCACGGATTACTGGCCAGTTATGATGCTAAACCTTTAAGGGCGGGTTTGGATCGTGACAAGAGATTCTTGCAGAGCTTGAGTGTAACAGGGCATTTGGATGAAGCTGTTGTGGTCTACTGTGATAGCACATCTGCTATAGCTTATGCGAGAGATCCCAAATATCATGGGAGAACTAAGCATATTGATACCCGTTATCACTTTATTTGAGATATCATTGCGCAGGGATTGGTGGTCCTAAGGCATGCCTCTACTAGCGACATGGTTGCTGATCCATTGACCAAACCCTTTTCAAGCAATGTTTTTCATAGATATGTTAGGGGTTTAGGCTTACGTAGGATTTGATATGCTTGTATCAGATGGACCCTTTTTTGATCTTATGCATTGATGAAATTAGTTTTCCCTTTTATTTTGCATAATGATGGATTGTTTGAGCACATATTTTGAATTACATATATGTCACCAGGCTAAGATCGGCCCTCTCACACTAGCGATCACCCTGGCACTTGTAGAGCAGGATGAGACATAGATTATCTTGGCGCTTGAAGAGCAAGCGAGGTAAATGTTTTATTACTTGGGAGTGAACAAAACTGGTTTATTAGTAGATGTCGCCTTGGCATTAGCTGAGATGGGACTTATATAAGTTGAACATGAAGTTTTTTCACTACTTCATGAAGCTTGAATGTAGCCGAGTGTGAGGTCTTAGATAGGTGCTTGATAAGCAACTAGGCTAAGAAACTTAGGTTAGGCGCTTGTATAGCGACTAGACTAAGATTCATATGGCGTTAGAGAGTGACTAACCCAATTGAGTGAGAGCTCCATCATAGCATACATATCATACTGTATGTGCTATAGTCGACCATATAAGGGAGTAGCTAGATGAATCCCTGCTCTAGCACTGTGTGAGCCCTATTAAGCCATTAATTGGTTTATACCATGCCATTGAACTCGGAACTATGTCATGAAGTGATGACTCGATGTTGCTACTTTAGCATGTCATCCTAGGATCATGATGAATACGATCCAGAGGACCATGTCTAGGCAAGCAATCAAGTTTGAGTGGATGAACATGAGTGGCTACGGAAAGTTCTTACAACATTGACTCGATTATGTCAGATTTGTGTTCTTGATATAGTCATGAGTACAAATACAACATTTGAAGTCAAGCATGTTTATGAGTTGACTCATGAGGGATTTAAAATACTTGATTTGGTGTGATCTAATGAATTTGGGGTATAGATGAGTTTTTTGAGTGATGTGCTATGTTAGCATGATGGTGACTTAACATAACACTCATATCTTATACTTTCTCGTCAGGTCACATGCTCTATTTTTTTGTATGAGGAGTGGATTGAATGAGAGATTAAGAAATGATACCAAATGGGGATGAGTGGGAGATGTTGGGAATTGGATCGGATCCGACCCGATCCATAACCCATGGAGCGTCCACATGGGTTGCAAGATTATTATCATATAATAATAATAATATAATTATTGTATTATCTTTAGTTATTTGAATTATATGATAGGATAATTATTTGATTATCTATAAGAGAGTTTTATTGAGTGTGGATCTTTATCTACATATCTCTATATATCAAATATGGAGAAAAGAAATATACGTGTGTTGTGTGGTAGTTTACTATAAGAGATCACTCAAAACTTGTTTCTCTCTCTATTCATCTCTCCAAGGTCACCATTTTTTGTACCTTGGAATTTGTAATATGTGTTCCATAAGGAAGACTCTAGTAGCCTCTCTACTGACGTGGAGTTTACAACAAGAAGGGCTCATAATTCAAGCTTTCGGATTTTATTGTGTAGGTGTTTTTCTGCCTAAGGTAACGCATATTTTTCTTCCAAGTTTCAATGATCAAAGATCAATTGAATCTCAAACCCAATCGAAGCTTGATTAGAGATCAACTGAAGCTCAACCAAATCGATGCCCAATCGATCCAGAGATGGGTTCAACCATATGGGTTTCAATGCTCTGGGTTCAACATCTGGGTTTCACGATTTGGGTTCACCGATCCAGAAATGAGTTCATGATACATGATTTAGAAATGAGTTCATGATTCGGGTTCAATGATGGTATTTTTTGTTCATGATTCGTGAAGTATTGGCCATGTTCGGGAAGTTGGCTATTTTAGTTAGTTATTTTAGTTGGCTATTTGATTTTTTTTATAGTTATTTTATCCGGCTAAAGTAGTTGTGTTTGGAAAGTTGGATGGCTTTTTTTTTATTTTTTATTTTTTATTTTTTATAATTGATTTGATAGGTGTGAGAAAAAAACGAAGTGATTATGAATTGGATGTGACATTTTTTTTTATTAACCGAACTCTATACCCCCAACAAAGCCATTATTTGTTCTTGTTCTTGTCTTTATTCTTAGTTTTGTTCATGATTCATGATCTGGGTTTTGTATTTTTTTTCTTTGAATTTTTGTTGTAATTTTTCTACCTGTTTGGGAGTTTTTGCTTGGACAGATTAAAGGAAGTTCATTGCAGTTGGGAATGGTCTTACCATTGATATGGAGAAGGAAGATAGAGAGAGGTTATTACAGTCAGAAGATAAAATTTGCTTTTGCCTTATTTCAAAACAGAGACCAACTTAGGCCTCGTCATTTTTTTGTTTTTTTTGTGACTTTCGTGTTTTCCTGGTTTGTGTCTCAGTTTTTTTTAAACAATTGTAAACATCTTTTTTCTGTTTACATTTTTCAGCCTTATTTATGAAAGGCTACCATTTATAAATCAAAAAAATTACCAAACAAGTTTTAGGCTAGTTTTTAAATTTTTTTGTCAATAAAAGCAAAAAACTGAAAATATAATGGTTACCAAACAAACCCTTAATTGTGAGAAAACAGAATATGTTTTCATGAAAAAATATTAGGTTCTTAGCAAAATTTATTTCGAATGTCAGCCTGTGTTGTTTGTTTCCCAAAATTGCAGAATTGATGTGCGCTATTTTCCTGAGTTTGCAACAAGAATTTTTTGAATTCTGACTTGAAACTTGATTTCATGACATGTCAGCCATCTAATGCAAATAAAAGACATGATAAGAGCAGCCATAGTGCATGACATGTCAGTCATCTCCGAATTTGGAAGTAAAACTCCAACACAAGCTTTGATAATTGCATTACATAAGAAAATAAGAGATATTGAGATGATAGACACTAAAGAAGCAAAGCTTGCATCTCTGGTAGCATCCGACTGGAATTTCGAAATCTAGGGTTTGTATTGTTAGCACGATTCGCCTTGAGGAAACGCCAAGGCCAACAAATGTGCCTCACCTTGTGACGGTTCCGTTCCCTGCTCTCTGCTTCTTCTAATTGTCTTGTTAGCTCTTCGATCCTCCCATGGTGTCCTGCAGCTCTGCTGTCAGCCAGCTTGAGAGACCTCTCTGCTGCTGCTTGGGCAGCCATTGCAGCAGCTGCAAGTTCTTCTTTCAACTTTAATTTTCCATTTGATATGTCCAAAGCAGCCTTTGTTTTCTCCAACTCTTGCTTCAAAATTGAAACCTAATGATGTATCAGTGTTTAAGCATTTGAGTTTTAACATCTATAGAATTTAAGGGAAACAACAATGATTCATACCACTAAAAAAAAGACCACTAATGGAAGGGCCCACTGCCACATCATTAGTGGTGCTATTAGAGCACCACTTTTAGTGCTCTCAACCATTTTTCTTTAAGGAAAAACTATAACAATAATGATAATAATATGAGAGCTTGGTAAATAATAATAATAAAAAACTGATTTCTTGAAGCATATAATAAAAGCTAATGTTGTAACCTTGTAACAATAATAATACTACCTTTAGGCTAGAATCAAATGTCACATTGACTAGGGTGTTCAAATTGCCCAGTTGTGGGTATCTATATTGTGCTTGGCACGTGGCGAGCCCTACAGCCCTACAGGCATCATGTGGCAGACCCCTGAGGCACCACAATGAGTTGGGTCATATGTCTAGCCTAAGCAGGGGCATACACACCACCAAATATGAAAACAAGATCACAACTCACCTTGACAGAGCAACCTCACCTAGAGCTCTACATGGTTCTTCATTCATGACTCATAAGAAATATATTCTCTACCTACTCATACCAGCTCCATAGCAACATAATTGGACCCTTGGCTCACCAATGTTCACCTAGTTGCTCATGATGAGCCCTTGGCTCACCCATGCACTCACCTCCTTGGCTGCCTAGGTTGGGAGCAGGACCTAGGCACATCTATTTGGAATCATTAGAGGATTGTGGATTGGAGATTAAGACCTTGGGATCACCAAGGTCATGTAACTGTCTCCCTACAGTGATAGCTCCCCCTTGACCTAGCTTAAAGAAAGGGACATTGACCTTACACTTACATCAGTTGCACATATGATACGCCTCTCAAGATATTATACCTACACCTGCAGCTCTTATGATGCAACCTTCCCAAGGACCTGAGTCATAGGACATAGCTAGTAGGGCTGATATCACCCTCAAGTCGAGGAGAACTTGCCACCTATCTTGAGGTTGCTTGGGCTCCAATACTCTTGGAGTCTATATAATGGCATCATAAGTGCAGCCACAATTATAACAAGAGCAACGAGAATCATACAATATATACAAAGTGTTCAAGGTCTCTCACTGTCACCCCTTTCCTCTCTAAGCTAACCTTGGTCTTCTCTTCTTCCACCTTTAGTGATCTCAAGCCATTGAAGTGCCTGCCATCTTCCTAGAGGTGAACGACCGATCGCCTCTAACCTCTCTCACCCACATTATACTCCATTGGGAAAGAGTCACTTCACATGTCACCCAAAAAGAACACTGGAACCGGCGCAACGACATCCCAACGTGGCGGTAGGGAGACTCTGGTAGAGACCTTGGAACATAACCCCAACGGCTTTCTGGAGGAACAATCCTGTCAACCGGCCAAAGCGGAGCAACTATTTGTATTGCTGAGAGTGTCACTTCTCTGCAACAGAACCAACAACTCTTGATGGATGCCCTACTAGCCTTACAAAGGGCATCTACACTTCCATCATCATCTAATCCCCTTTCTTCATCACAGAATGGCATTCCGTCATTAGCTCAAAATGGCTTAAAAGCTAATCCCACTCTACGAAACAACTTGAAAAACCAAGCTGCAGGACAAACAGTCGCCCCGCTCCCTCCATCGGCTCCAAGCCAGGTACCTCCACCAAAATAAAATTTTATTATTAATTTTTAAAACACTCTCCAATCCTTTGGCTCTCCACCAAAATAATATTTTATTATTAATTTTTAGAGCTCTCTAATCCTTTGGCTCTCCACTAAAATAATATTTTATTATTAATTTTTAGAGCTCTCCCCAATTCTAATCCTTTGACTCTCCACTATTTTATCATTAATTTTAGAGCTCTCTAATCCTTTGGCTCTCCACCAAAATAATATTTTATTATTAATGCTTTTTAGAGTTCTCTAATTTCTGGACTCTTCAACAAAGTGGAGCTCTCCAAGTTTACAGCTCACCCATGAGGATAGCTTTAAATATTTTAATTTTAGAGCTCTCTCCAATTCTTCGGTTCTCCACTAAAATAGAGCTCTCTAATTACGGCTCTCCAAGTTCCTCATCAAATTTTTGGCTAAGTCTAAAGCCCATATGATGGCTCACCAATTTTTAGGCTCTACAACAAAAATCAACAATTTTTATTCATCAATTTTTCGGCTGTCCTATGAGCTAGCTCTCCACTCCTCATGATAGAACCCAATGAAATAGAGCTTGGAGCTAGGTCCAAATATTTTTGGGAACTTCATTTGTAAAAAAAAAAATAAAAAGGGAAGAAATAGTGATTGGAAGCATACCTCAACAAGTTAAATCTCCAATTGCGCAAGTCACAACAGAAAGAAGTCCAAGCAGGTGGAACCTAGATTGTGTGGCTCACCTTCGAAAATACCCAACCACCCTCTCCCTTCAATTTCGCAAAGTCTCCTTCACGAGGATCACAAACCCAGCCCCTACAACAAACTCTTCTTTGCTCTTCCTTGCTTCTCTGCTTCTATTGCCTACGTTTTGTCTCTCTCTCTCACTCTCTCTCTCTCTCTCTCTCTCTCTCAAGCATCTCCCATGGCAATAATAACCCTTAAAAGCCCCAACTTCACCAAATGCAAGGATCAAAACCTCAAAACCCTAGCACTATCTTTGATTCGGCAGATACACCTTCGATTCGGCAGCCCCAATTTGAAAGAATCTGGGCACAAATTGACCGATCCACTTCTCTCCCTTGATTCAAAAATCCAATCGGTAGCAGAAAACCCTAGCCCCAATGCCAAAATCGAAAATCCACCTTCCAAAGTCACAATCCGACTAGTCGAAGGAGCTTTACCTTCGTCGAACCCAGATTGGAGCTCACCGACAACACCCTTCACGGCTCACCGGCACCCTTCTCCCCTCCTTCGCGGTTGCTGACACCCTTCTTCTTTCCATTCTCTCTCTAAAAGCTTGAACACAACTTTGAGAGAGGAACATAACTCAAAGAAGCATATATAAAAAACAAAAAAAATAGAGAAGAAAAACACAGAACCAAACTTAAGAGGGAGAAAGAGTATGAAAAACTCAGAACTAAACTTGGAGTGAAAGGGTATGAAAAACCATAACCGAACTTGGGGAGAGAGAGAGTATAAAAACCAGAATTGAGGAGGGCTAGACAACTTGCCAAGAGGGATATTTACCTAAGAAACCACAGTGCGAGTAACAAAGTCAAGAAAACTCCCTCTCTATACAATGGGTAAAAGGAGAAGACAAGCCAGGTGATCGGAAAACTCAAAGCTCCTACCGAAGATGGGTTTAAAACACATATATAGAATTTATATTTTCACAAAATATATACAGAATATATATTTCTACAAATCACGAGGAAAACCCCTTCTTTCACAATGGGTAAAAGGAGAAGACGGAGGAAGTGACCGGAAAACACAAAGCTCTGATCAGATTCAAAGTATATAAATAATATATATTTCTGTAAAAAAAAAAAAGAAAAAAGCAAGCTCCTATTCGATCGGGTTCGAACTATACACAGAGTATATACGAACTTTCATTCAATGAATTCATACAGAATATATGTTCATTGCTACAAAAGCAACGTTCAAGCAGAACGACGAGCTCCAACAAAATATATATATATATAATTAAGATTGTCCCTTCTCGAAGTAGAATACTTAATCAATCAGAAACTTTCCATGCTTGGTAGAAGCAGATGTGACCGCTCATGGCTGTAGAGGTATCGAGACAACAAAAAGGCATTAGAAAACCTTAGTGCTAGCAAACCTTAAATTCTCCAAAGTCACTTAGGCAACTACCAACAGCTACAAATTCAGTAGTTATCACAAACTACCATGAGCAGCTCCAAATCAATAGCTACTACTAGTCCGCTCTAAACCAATAGCTACGACTAGAACTGGTGAGTTGTCCTCTCCATGGATTGCTCCTTCCCGACGTCTTCATAAAGCTGCAAAAGGTAATAAACTCATCTCCTTCCTGATGCAACCCCTTTATAAGAGAGACACAATAGTAATCGACAACCAAACTCAAGCAAATTCATATTCAATTGCCACTCTCTTCTCAACTTCAACAACCCATTCTCTCTAACAATGGCTTTTGGAAGAGAGAGGCACTGAGATAACACCGTTTGGCGACCAATGAACAATAAGGCTCCAAACTGGAGAGGTTCAAACTACAGAGCTTCGAACTTCAACTTTAGAGCTTCAAGCTCCACTCCCAATCACCGCCGCCGCTCGGTGTGTAAGTTCTTTCGAAGAATGCTCTCCATGCCTCCATGGCAATTCCAAGGGCTGCTATTCAAATCCCCTTGGGTCCAGCACCCAACATCCCCATATATAGTCATAAAGGTGCCAGAAGAATTTTAGGGAAAAATAAGGGAACGATACAAGGCATTAACGCTTCCAGATCTCTACACAATACCACAATCCTACACTTGGTTCCTGCCAAACCAACAAGGCAACCTCACTCTACAGGGATCTACCTGCCAGGTAATGTAGGTGCTGATCTCACATTTTGAGAGAATCAGAATCAACATCCTCTTGCAAAGACCAACTGAGAGGGATTTAGACCACCACATCTCCATCATGTCAACACCATTAGAAGACCCAAATGAAGATTTGGGACTTGGACGGTACATAGAGGACTTCAAAGACCTCAATTTGGGGGAAGAAAGTGCTCTCGGCAGTGCTTCGCCAAGTATTCCCCACAACACTCCGCTCAACATCCTCTTCTTCAACATTGAGGGCACCGCTCGCCTAACTTCCTCCACCACTACATGCACCCACTCTCTTATGGACACTTCCATCTCGTCATCATCACAAACACGAAAAAGGAGAAAGCGAAGCCCAATTCATGAGTCAAATCATGGGCTACTCCAATACCAGGAACATGAACCTGCCTCCCAGTGACATGGAAAGGGTGACGGACGGTATTTGGTGCCTATGGAATGAAGCTGAAATCTCATGCGAAATAATAGAGATCGTGTAGAATGAGGTCATTGCCCAACATGCCCACATTTTCGTCCAACCCGTTCGTGCCAGATGAAATTAAAATGTGAATTCTCCATGGACAATCAAAAAACCTCCCTTTAATCCAAAAGAAATCAAATTTTATTATTTGCATGAGTTATATTTTCGACATCTTTGTCATATATGTACAACCACTCTCATGAGAATATCTGTATAGGGGGCATTAATGTAGGTATCTATATTGTGCTTGGCATGTGGTGAGCCCTATGGACAGCACATCATCACCATCACACATTCACGAGGCAGACCCTTGAGGCACCACGATGAGTTGAGATCGTATGCCTAGCCTAAGCGGGGGCATGTACACCACCAAATATGAAAACATGACCACAACTCACCTTGACAGAACTATCTCACCTAGAGCTCTCCATGGTTCTTCATTCATGACTCATAAGAAATATATTCTCTACACACTTACCCCAACTCCATGGCAACATAGCCGGACTCTTGACTCACATATGTTCACCTAGTTACTCAAGATGAGCTCTTGGCTCACCCATGCACTCACCTCCTTGGTTGCCTAGGTTAGGAGCAAGACCTAGGCACTCCTGCGTGGAATCATTGGAGGATTGTGGATTGGAGGCTAAGACCTTGGGATCGTCAAGGTCAAGTAGCTGTCTCCTTGTAGTGATAGCTCCCCCTTAACCTGGTTTAGAGAAAGGGACGTTGACCTTACAGTTACATCTATTGCACATATGATATACCTCTCAAAATATCATACCTACACCTGCAGCTCCTATGATGCAACCTTCCCATGGACCTAAATCACAGGACACAACTAGTAAGGCTGATATCACCCTCCTGTCGAATCAAGAAGAACTTGCCACCTATCTTGAGGTTACTTGGGTTCCAATAGTCCCGAAGTCTATATAATGATATCATAAGTGCAGCCACAATAATAACAAGAGCAACAAGAATCATACAATATATACAAAATGTTCAAGGTCTCTCATTGCCATCCCTTTTCTCTCTAAGCCTATCTTGGTCTTCTCCTCTTCCACCTCCGGTGATCCCAGGCCATTGAAGTGTCGGCCATCTTCCTAGAGGTCAACGACCGATCGCCTCTAACCTCCCTCACCCACACCAGTGAACTGAAGAATCGAATCAAACCGACGTCTTTAAGTTTGGTTGGTTTGGTTCTGAGTCTTCAAATCAACAAACTGATATGATTGGGTTGGTTCTTAGTTTAGGCCTTACCTAAACCGAACCAACCTAATAACCAAACCTATATATATTTTAAAATTTTATTTATATTGACATGTTTTCACCTAATTGGTCTATTCCAATGGACTTGATTGCACATAATAATTTCACATACAATAATTATTAGGTGAACGAAGGAAGTATTAGAAGCTTGAGTTGGATTTCATAGTTGATTTAATTTGTATTGGTGGTATTTTTGGATTTAATTTGTATTGCTTATGTTTAAGCTTGAGTTAGATTTAATTCGTATTGGCTTGCATAAAACAATATTTTGTTCTTTGTTTATATATTTAAATATGAAAGACTTGTTTATTTTAATTATTTATTATTAATTGATTTACTTATTTTAAATATGATAGAACCGTGGTTCCAACCCGAACTAACCCGAGCTACATTGGGTTGAGTTGGGTTCTAGTACATGATTGGTTTGGTTATGGGTCTAAAAACTTGGAAACAATGAATAGGTTAGTTCTAAATTTAGTATCAAACCAAACCAAACTGACCTATGAACACCCTAATATTATTGACCACCGAGATGCATAATTATCCATTGACTTCTATTACAAGAAGTTTTCACCAAGCATGAGCTGCCCTCAATGAGTGCATACAAGTAACCAACATATGATTTATCTTTTAACATCAATTTCCAGATATGTCACAGTAAAAACTGGGATTTTTGTTCTCATACTCGATTGACACAAGTCAGCTTCTCTTAGCTTAAAAAACATTATTAATGTTTTTATTTCTCCTAAAACAAAACCGACCCAAATCAATTTACTTTCAACTCATGCAACCAAAAAAGAATGTGAAATATTTTCAATCATGCCTTTCTTTTATAGCATGCACCAAATTAAATTCAGTTCTCTTGTTTTGTCTGCAAATCACAGTCACACCTCCCCCACCTCCACAAATATGCACACACATCTGTCAAAAAAGGGATTAGTTGATGGGAAGCGAAGGCTGGATTCAGATTGACAAGCTCAATTGACACAATCCAAACTAGTGAGTTTTGAAAATACTCTTTTTCTAAAACACATTTGCCTTCCCAGTTAGTCAAAATGCTTTTGGTGAATTGTACTTAAACACATCCGGTATTATAGAACGTCATAGTGCAACCAAACAAAGCGGATTATGTTGTACCCTTTAATTTTGATAATTAGTACCTGGTTAGCAATTGACTGCTTGTTTTACATGTTAATTATGTTCATTCCTCTTCCCTCCACCCACCCAGTAACCCAAGCAACTAGCCACCAACAAAAACAGACACTTGCACAGTGACATTAACACAAAGAGGATGAGTCACAATGAAAAACTAGGTACTGAATCAAGATGGGTTATACAGCCAATTTCATAGTTTTGTTAATGCTAGAGGAATGAATAATTTTCTCGTTGACAAAACAAATGATCTACTTCCATTGCTATATCTAAAGATGCTAAACAGGTAGCCAAGTCACTTGCATAACTTTCATTTTGATAACAATCATCTGATTGGGTTACTAATACTTGAATCGTCAAAAAATTTAATGATCTTTTTCAGCTTGAGAACATACCAAAAATGTTAAGCGTAGGAAGGTAGAAAAACAATAAAAAAAAAAAGCATGCATTGAACTGAGCAACAAATTCTTACCACTTTGTCACGTTCTTCAACAACATTCTTTCCAGCTTCCACTTCCAATTCACAAGCTTCCCTCCATCTAGCAACCTCTTCTTCAGTTTCCTTTATTTCCATCAGGAGTTCCTCAACCTTATTGACCAAAATGCAAAAGAAAATATAAGAATGAGAAGTTATACATGACATGCCACGAAATGCACATAAAAGGTCAGATGTCTATGTAAAACTATTCACTTACATTTTGGGATAACATTGTTTCTCTATCTTCCAGCTCTTTTATGTACATTGCATTTTCTGCAATTTTCTGAGCTTGTTTCTCCGTAAGACTCTGTAGGCGCTCAGTGTCTGACCTGGGACAGAAAGTTATTAAGAAGTGACATGATTGTTGTTTTCCCACATATTCAATTTATTTTTAAATTTTGGCATTATGTGTCCATGTGTGTGTTGCAACTTGCAAGGGGAAGGTGTGGCAGAGTTGGGGCAGCAAACAACAACCCAAAAGAATGTCAATGTACTTTCTATCACATGTCATTTACTATATTGCAAAAGGCTCAATGAAGCAAAGGCTCCTTCCTGTCTTTTTTGAAAACACATCTCCCAACAATTTGTCATGAGATGAAAAAACCATATAATGGTCAGTCACTGTAGTCAACAAGATGGTAAGTGGCTGCCACCTTCATGTTGCCGATCAGCTATCACTGTTGCCAAGAATGGCATAGTTGTAAAGCTTTGTCATGCCATACACCCACTTAAGATAGAAAACAGATCAATATAACTAAGGGTAATGCTATAAAATAAACAGATCCCTCACCAGATTTTCATACCACTAGACACAAAAGCAATAGGGTCCATATTAATAAATACATGTGGGGACCCATGCCTTTATGTCTAGTGGTAAGAAAATCAGGTACAAAATCCATTTATGCACAATGTTTTCCGTAGAGCTAACATAGTGTTTGAATAAATGGATCTTATCTTTCAATTGAGAATTCAACTTATTACACTATAAAAACCTACCAAAGCATATTTAACTTTCAAATTAGTCCACACCACGAACCAAACCAAAGATTTTATTAGATAACAATGAAGCCAAAGATAATTATCATAATAGGTTTATGTTTAAAGCAGCCATATTAACAATGAACTTTTGCTTTAGACATATAGCAGGCAACAAACCTTCCAATAGCAGCTACAAGGGAAGGGTGGCAGGCAAGGACCACATCCTCCTCAAAACTCATAAGATTCTTCTCATCCTGTGTAATAGTTTGGGTCATGTAGGACTGGTGCCACAAGTTGTGTTATCAGATTTGATGAATAACCAACTATTTTAACATGGCTGACTTTTAACAAAAACGGTACAACCAACTATTTTAAAGTGCTTGTGGTTGACCCCGAGGGCTCTAAATTGTACCAATAATTGGTCATTCACAAAGGCATGGTTCATGTGTTTTTGGAATACATCGCGAGGAATGACATCACGAATGGCATACACAACAAAGTGCAGTCAACCAGCTAAGTTGTGGCTGATGAACTGCTGGCTAATGACCACTGAGTTACAGCTGGAAAGGCATCCAGGTGTCTAGAATCTTGTACTCACTGGTTTATTAATTCCTTTGAGTTTTATAGAGCTCTGATTATCACATAGGAATATTCAAGGATAATGCTCAGATTTTTATCACAACGAATGAAGACAGGATTAGATAGATAGTACTTGATTTGCAAATTTAGAATAGAATTTGATTAGATTTTTCCTCTCTTATCTTCAATCTTTTCCTACAACTATAAATATTGATGTATTACCGTATTGTTGAAAGGGTTGAATTTTGGATTAATTAAACACTGAGCGCTTTTCTTTCGTCTTCCTTTTGGATTCACGGAATAGTGGATTGTAGGGAAGCCTAATAGATTCTAGGGCAGACCAAAATAGGATAAGGAGTTTGGCTTCCTCCCTTCCCACTTCCCATTCTGCGTTGTTGGGTGTTTAGATTAAGAAATGGTACCTTGTACTGCCAACGCTCTCCACCAAGCTTCAAGTAATCCCACCTTGATCCCTACTCCCAAGTATTGTTTTGCGTCATTGGGTGTTTAGACTAAGAAATGTTACCTTGCACTACCTACGCTCTCCACTAAGCTTCAAGTAATCCTGTAATGACCGGGTAAATTTGAACTTTTAATTAATGCAATTGAGCTTCAATTAATTTTAATTAATTATAATTAAACCCACAAGTTTTCCTTTCATTTTAGTTTAAACCTCTGTCGGTTAATTTTCTATACATTCGATTATCTCGGGTTGCATGCACTAAATCCTGAGCCAACCCGAGACCAAAGGGATAGACCCTCCGGGTTCAGTAAATTATGTTAATGTGACCATAGAGTCAATCCTCTTAAATTAGAATTTAATTTCTCGTTGAGAAAGATAGTGCAACAATCATCTCGAGTTGCATGTACCCGGGCCCAAATTGACACGAGATCCAAGAGACGGATTCACTGGGCTTGGTATTAGATGTTAATATGTTAACACAGTGTTATTTAATAATTTGGAGACATTCTAGTGAATTGAGAATTCCAATGCACAAATTGTCTTGTTATGAGCGCACGCAAGTCCGATTCGATTTGAGATTCAAGAGATGGGCTCTCTGAGCCCAGTAATTATTAATTTTGTGTTATTTATCTATGTATAATTTATTGTAGTTATCCCTACGGATTTCATGTACAGAAAACGTATAATTTTTTATCCAAACTTTACTTTTTGAGCTAGGATTTTGGAGGGAAGCCCAAAACCCTTAATTAATGCAAAATGTATAAAAAAAATTGGTGTCCAAGAGGGGTCAACCAGCCAGTCCTCTCTCTCTCTTTGTCTCATCTTTTTCCTCTTGTATACCCTTTCCTTACACAACTTGGTCCTTTACTTACACAAGTCATGGAAGAGGAAGTGAGGCATCATTTGTTGTGCCAATCAAACTTTAACCTATATGGTCTTATTAAATATGTACAATTATATGAATTCAAAATGGAGGGTTGTGATTTGAGTTCATTATAGCTAGATGCATTTTGGGCCTTTGGATTAAAGTTTAAGTTGGATTAATTAGGAGGTTGAATTGTCATCTTTTGCAAGTGTTATACAAGTGTTAGAGAGAGGAAAGAGAAGACACTCTTCCCCTTTTACTCTCTCACAACCAAGTCTCTCTCTTTCTCTCCCATTCTCTTTGTTTTTCATCATCTTCTTCCTTGCATACTCTTAATACTCTCACCCTACTTCTACCATTGTTGGACCTTGGGTGATTTGGTGAGCTAGAAACCATAAACAAATACTTAATAAGTGATTGGTGAGTTTGGAAACTCACTTTGGTGTTTGATTTGAAGATCAAAACTTCAAGACTTGGTGTGTTCTTGGTGTTCATGGAGCATTCACCTTTCCTACCTCATTTCTTCATTTTTTGTTTAAAGCTTCAAGTGAAGGTAGGGGTTCTCCCAATTTCTTCTTAGAAAAGCATGCTAGGGTTTATTTCTAGTTAATTACATGATTTCATAAGTTAATGGCATGATTGGTATATGAAATACAAGATTTGCTTTGTATATATTCAAATGCATGAGTTATATGTTTAATTCATACTTTCTTGAATAACTTTTTTGAGTAAGAGTTAGATTCTTATCTTGAAATCCCTAAATATATTCTTGTTATGTGATTTCATGAATTTTAACATAATATTGTCATATTTATCTTGAAATCATCAAAACCATTATGTAATTAATTTAGGACTTTTTCTTCAAACTTCAAAAAGTGTAATCTATGGCTTGTTTGATGACTAATGGTATAAAGAACATGTGATTTGGACAACTTTGAATTTTTTTATAATTATTTGAAGTGTTGAGAAATTGGGAAAAATGATGTAGTAAGATTAATCATGGGTTAAAATAAGTTAGTCTAAAAGATGGTGTGATTTAGAGTTGATTTACTATTTCTCCATAATTTGTACTCTAGTTTTGCTAAGTAGTTTCTTAAAGATATATGTTCCCATGACTATTTTATTATTTTACTTGTGTTTATGAGTTATTTGGATTATTAATGAATTTGGGACTTATAAGGGAAAAAAGGTAATTTTGACTCTTTAGGGGTAAAATAGTCATTTGGGAATATTTTGGATTATTTGATTGAAATTGCCACATATGAAATTAACTTGGGATTAATGAAGGGTAAATTGGTAATCTCAAGCCTTGGGAGCATTTTGGTAATTAAGACCTTAGAGGTAATTTGGTAAATTGTGCTTCAGGGGCATATTGGGCATTTCACACGAAGAGTACATTACTATTTTAGCTCCAAGGGCAAATTGGTAAAATTGGCTAGAAAGAGCATTGTTGACAAAAATTATAAGTGTTGGAAATTAGAATAGTGGGAATCTAAGTAAGTATTAAATAACCGGTGTTAGTATTTACTACACTTAGTTGTTTATTGATTTTACGGGATTGGCTCGGGTTATAGGCTTATAGCCAATATTGTGGTCCAGTATGCTTAAGGAGATAGTTGATCCAACTCTCTGCGGGTTAGAACCCTGGACATTGCCCAGTTTAGAGGAGTATTAGCCTCTGGTGGTTAATGATGGAGTTTCTTCCTGACACGTAGTTTGGAGGGAGCCTGGGACATGATCAAGGTAGGACCTATTATGTACTTATTTATGGCTTGGACACAGTATGTGTTGGCGAGATCATGTTTATTGCCCTGTTGGCAAGTTATTGATGCCTTGTTGGCGATAATTGATTTCAGATTATTTCTTTTATTTAATTATCCTAGTGTGAGTTAATTAAATAAGATTGGACTTAATAAGATTAAGTAAATTAATTTGGAAATTGGACATTTCAATGCATAATTTTATTTGTCACGACACTAATATGTTTACTTAGTAAGAAATGAGATTACTGTCTTGCGAGTGTCAATACTTACGCCCCTACATTATGTAGGTACCAATGGACACCAGCCAACATGAGCGTCAGGACGTCATTTGTTTTGTTAAGTTTAGACCCTAGGTTAATTGGGTCTGCATGCATTTACACCTTTTGTCGAATTATTGTATTAATTAATTTCGGGTTTGTAACTGAAACATTTATTTCCGTTATTGCATGATGTACTTCATTTTATGGGTTTGCATGCCAAGTGAGGATGTGTCTAATATGTGAGAGAGAACACTAGAGTTTTTGCACATAAATGGTGAATTATTTCAAAAACTATTAAATGGCACGCTTCTCAATGCAAGTCAAATTTTTTCAAAAACACTTTGTTTGCCACCTAAAGTTAAGTTAGACTCCACAAAAGAAAAATGGGCATGTTTTCCAACCTCATACAATCTAAGGCCATTGGGCACGTTTTATGAGACAATCCTAGTTTTTAGAATTGAGTGAGAATTGACTAAGAAAAGTGATTTTGAGAATGAACATAGTAATAAAAGGAGATTATACTTAAAAATCTCATGCTTAGATTAATTAGTTTTCACCTAACTAGCATTTGAAAATCAGGGCATGACAAATCCCACCTTAATGCCCAAGGCCTAGTAGCATGGGGGAAAAAAAAATCCACCTTGATCCCTACTCCAAAGTATTGTACAATGCATTGGTCCTCATTCACTATTATTTTCCTCTTAGGCTTTTCGTATTTCTTTCACCCTCTACAGCTTCCTATGTTTCAACACAAATTTGATATTGAATCAACATTGCACATCTCTTTAACTCGAAATATAAAACTTCTAAATTATATAGAAACTACATTTAAGCAAAAAAGATCCATAAGATGTTCAATTTTCCACTTTTACGACGAGAATTTTGAGGTATTATGAAAACAAAAATGGAGGGAGAGAAATTTCTTGTGAAAGTAATAAACCTTACACGCATGTCTATTTTTCCGACAATTGAATTATTATTTTTTTAAAATGAAACTAATATTTGGTTTTTGGGGGGGGGGGGGGGGGGAAGGGAATAAAATAGAGAGAACACATTTCATTGTTTCATATATTTTATGATCTAAGAAGCATAAAATATGCAGATTACAACACGTCCTATGTTCATTTTCAGAGATGTAAAGGAACAAAAAAGTGTGCTAATATATGTTCATTTTAATGGCTAATTTTCTTCATCTCAACCTTTATAGATCCCAAGAGAGTGTCTCCCTTAATCACAACACATCCTATGCTTATTTTTCATGAATTAAATTTGGTCAATTCATTGCCACTTTACCATAATCTCATTGACAAATGCATAATGCAGCAAAAACATAGAACCATACTGCAGAAAATCTAAGTATTAACTATTCAATTTGATGATAAATACCTAGATTCCTCCAAAGACCTCCTCAATTGGGTGATTTCAAGTCGTAAATTTTTCATTATCCTCTCCACAGTTGAGGCCTGGCAAGAACAATTACAGAAATAAAGCCAATGATTTCCACTGCAAGAAGATTATGTTTGAACATATTAACCCATTAGAAATTCTGGACTGTACTTTATTGGCACACTGTCCAGACGAATATACAGTTTCTTTAATAAAATATCTAATGAAATCACAAAACTTATAGGAATTTTTTTTCATGTTTTTGATATGACTAAGTTATGCTCTGCTCATATTTTGATTTGGAAAATACAATCACCCAAAAGATTGGTCTAGTTATGACTAAGTTATGCTCTGCTCATATTTTGATTTGGAAAATACAATCACCCAAAAGATTGGTCTACTCTAACGCAATTACAAAGTATGACTGCCTCCAAATCTGGAGAAAGAGAAAAAGTCTGAATACACTGACTGGAAAGCACACTGCAAAAGTCTATACGCCAACAGCTGTCTCTTCCAAGATAGCAAGATAGCCATCATTGATGAAATAATTTTGCAGAACGATTTTTGTGCATGTATTTGTGTTTGTGATATGGGGGCTAAGGTAGAAATGCCCTAATGTGATTGAAATTGATAAACATGTATGTAATCATCAACCAAGAACTTGTTCCACAATGAAATATAGATATTTGAAAGTCTTCTTGTGCAGTTATGCGTTAGCCTAGTTTGCCTCTAGTAGAAGTAGGTTTGGAGGTTGAAATGTAATCTCATCTTGTTAAGTTGTTCAGTGTTACAATATAAAACCCACATAAAGGGCAAGATGTGGGATGCCTATGCAGCAGGGGATGGGGGTTGTCTTGTTCTAGCATTGTGGAATATTTCATCTCCCTTAGAAGACGGCTTCCACACAAATGCCTTTCTTCCTGTTTATCATCCCGTAATTTGTGCTCCCATTTCGTCTTTTAGTAGTAATAACCAGTTTCTGATTAGTGCAAGCCAGAGTTTGGGTGCATTGTTAGAGTTTTGCTATGTTTGGTTTGTTGTCACAATGTGAGAGGCTGATTACAAATTGTAACTAACCACAACTGACAACTGGTTCACAAATTTGAGTCATTAAAATCAACTAGTCATATTTATGTATTAGATCACAAACACACTCACACAGAGAGAACTACTTACAAATTTTGGAATGTAAAGAAGAATGAGAAGCAGAGTAATTACCAGACTCACAACCTCTTCTTCGCATTCGCTACCATCTGACTTACTACCTGCAGCATTATTAGCACTTGCAATTTCTGATGCTGCTGGTTCATTAGTTCCAGTCCCCATCATAAATCCAAACCCAACTTTCTGTAATCCTCTTTCTGCAATCTGCAAGATGGCCACTCTCTTCTGTTCATTGTTGTTCCCTTTAAGCTTGTTCAAACTCTTCTCCACTGCCTCTTTTTCCACCAAAGCAATCCTAAGTAAACTGTTGATGTCCCGATTCTCCTCCGTCAAGCTCACCACACTATTCTCTAACTCCCTCTTCTCCTTGTTCCTCATCTCTTCATACTCACTCAACTTCATCTCTGTCATGCTTGCAAGCTTTGAAACCGCCTTTAATTCCACCAAAATTGCCCTCAATTCTTCCTCTAAATCAGTTTCTCCTCTCACTTGCTCGCCTTCATCAACAACGCTTTCTACTTTAACTTGGTCATCCTCCATGCTCTCAACCACCCTCACCAAACACTCCTTAACCGATTTAACGGTCACCAAATGCTCCGAAAAAACCCTAATTATCTCACTCTTCTCCTCCAGCAACTCCCTAATTCTCTCCCTACAACCCTCGAGCTCGATCCCAATTCCTTGTTTATCCTTCAATTCCTCATCAATCCTCCTCTGTAACTCTGACACTTGATCATCTCTCTCCCTGGAGACTTGTTCAATAGCAGCGTTGAGGAGGACCAAGTTCTCCTCCGTCACAGCAGATTTGGTTTGAAGAGCTTGGAGCTCGGCGGTGAGAGACTCATTTTTCATCTGCGATTCGCCAAGTTGGTCCAAAGGGAGATCTTCGCTGTCGTCTACATGAGTAGCGGACGAAGAAAATGAAGAAGATGAAGAAGAACAAGTTTCGGTGGCGTCCATGATCTCTATCTGGGTATTGGATTACAAGTTGAGGTTTTTTCATGTTCAACAAGAATTGAGAAAGGTAGAGAGAGAGAGAGAGAGAGAGAGACCAAAGTCTAAACTACCAGTCCCAATAAAAACGAGGGAAAGACATTTAGGTTGAATCAAGGAATACTTCAGTTCTCACTCCAATTTTTATTTTAAAAAATAAGGGTAAATTACACTTACACCCTGAGATTTAGGTTTAATACATATCATCTCTGACATTTAGAAAATTATACTAATCTCCTGTCATTGTAATTATTTAGACGAAATGAAAATATTGAACTCATACACTCTCTCTCTCTCTCTTTTTCTCTTTTTCTCCTTAAAAATTTTAATTTACATAATACTTGGTTCAATCTTTATCAACCTTTCACGGATATTTCGTCTGCAGGAAACCGTAACCGGGACCCATGTAAACGTAGACTATACAAGTGCTACTATTGCCAATTAATAGATATTTCATCTACGGGAATCGGCACCCATATATATGTGCGGTTTTCAGGATTTTCACTTTGGACACACAAGCAAACTTAATTTAATAGAATGCATTCCCTTTCCAGATTCACCAATTTTTCTCAAAAACGTGATACATGTACAATATATCAAGATGTGTTAATGTTCAATGCAAATGGATGAAAAATTAGTTTCAATTCACCTAATCCTCATGCAATTTCTACAACAATCATGACTATCCTCCACCGATAATCCAAAACAGATATTTTTAAACAAATATAAAATCTTCAATACAGATAAACTTTTCAAATGTCAAGATATGAGTGATAATACATATCCAATTCCACCATCTATACCAATATCCATCCAATTTCACATTTCCAATGCCAATTCCATTTATTTAAACAAAATAAACATTCGAGATATTTAGGAAAAAACCCATTTTTCATCCAAAATCCATTACAAGTATCAAAATCAATAATTTTATCACAAACCAACCTCATTTCCACTCCCACAACTATTTTCAATACATCTATTTGAAAACCATCTTATGATTTCAAACCAAAATCCTAGGTTTGTTCAAAATCCTCCAAAATCACAAGATTGTTTTATAAAAAATAAATAGATAAGTTAAAAATCATAAAAAAGTGTAGAGGATCCCTACCTCAAAGATAGAAAACGAGATAAACACGGATGAAACTCAGATGAAACCGAAACCCAACTCTATTCGGATGAAAACGGAGCTCTAGGTGAGCTCTACCTTTTTAACAAAAGGAGTAGGGTAGAGAAATTAATGGATCTAGGCGATTTAGAAGAGAGAATGTGAGTTTTAGAGAGAGAGGGTCTCAACTTTGGTTTTTGAGATGTTTTATAGAGAGAGAGAGAGAGATGAAAAAGTTATGTAAAAAGTGACTTTTACGGACTGATATACGCGCAGTCCGCTCGAGCGTAAGGCACAAAAATGCGACCACTCGAGCTCAAGAATTTGACGCTCGAGCGTAAAATACAAAGTCCTAGTACTTTTACAGACAGAGGATCAATGCTCGAGCGCAATAAGGGCCGCTCGATCGTAAGAAGTTCTGCTCGAGTATAGAATACCATTTCCCAATATTTTTGCAGACCTGCAAAAGTACTGAGAGTTCACAAAAATCGCTTGAGCACAAGAAGTGACATTCGAGTAAAGGAGTAAATTTTGGGCAACAAAAGTTTGAAAACCAAGTTATTAACCTGTTCCAAATGCAACCAATACAACCCAATAGCCAAACTCAAAGAGGTATAAGGGAGATAAGACATAAATGACTATATTAGGCAATGAAACTAGGATCCAAAACATCAAATAGTTTGGATCTAAACCAGAATCGCTATATAATATATTCTATAATTTTGATATAATTACATTGGACTCTTTAAAAAATTTAATTTATGTAACACTTGGTCTTATCTTCATCAATAACTTGGTAGTAATATTGATGAAAAAAATGATATTATCATCTCTTTGACACACACACACACACACATATATATATATATATATTATTTTTTTTGTGTCTTTACACAATTTGCATTAGTTTTGCCCCTTTTAGACTTACTAAAAGCGATCAAAATCAGTGTAATTATGTTAAAATTATAAAATTTGTTATATTTTCACTAAATATCAAAGGAGGTTAGTGTAATTTACCCAAATAATAATCATTCCATTAAATTTCACCTTTATTACAATGAACTAAGATTACATAAGATTATTCTTTCATGAAATTGAATGAAATATATATTAAATATATGATAGAAATATGAATATTATTATAGGAGATAAATTATATTATGAAATAAATAATTAGATAAAGAAAAATTATTTGTAAATAAAAAATTATATAATACAAATTTTCACAATGAATTGTCACTTCAATTTTTTAAATCACAAGCACAATGATAATAAAAATCATATTATTTTGTATAGAAATTCTATACAAAAGTTTTATTTGTTTATCATTACTCTTGGATAAAAAGGATAGACATTATTGTATTATGTTTAGTTAGAATAAAAATATGTAATTATTATTATTGTTGGATAAAAGTGGAAAATAATATGAAGAGATTAAGGCCCTATTTGGGAAAAGGGTTGGAGGCTAAAATAGCCAATAAAAAAAAAAAGGCTAAAATAGCCAATAAAAAAATATTACATCCAAATTATAATCATTTTATGTTTTCTCTCACAACTATCAAATCAATTACAAAAAAAAAAATAAAAAAAAAAATAAAAAAAAAAATCAACTTTCTAGGCACAACTTTTTAAGCAAGGCTAAAATAGCCAACTTCTCAAACGAGCCCTAAAGAGAATATTCAACCAAGATATAGCGGTTTGGGTTAAGTTTCGACCCTTTCATACTCTTTGGTTTTAGGTTTTGTATTTGATTGGTGTTGTTGACATCAATTTTGATCCTATATTGTCTTTTGGAGTTGAGAATTGGATTTTTGAGTTATGTTGAAACATGTAGGATTTCTAATTTTCAGGGGAGATTTTGGTTGTGTGGTATTGAGTTTGCTCGAGTAGTGTTTTGGTCACTCAAGCGGTCTTTTCTTTCTCTCTGATTTTGGGTTTATAGTCTGAACTTCTAGGAGTAGGGATTTCTTCGCTCGAGCGGTGTTTTAATTGCTCGAGCTGTCTGTTTACAATTTGATTTTCTAAGAGTTCGCTTTCTTCGCTCAAATGGTGTTTTGGTCAATCGAGCGGTCTGTTTACAGTCTGATTGTTTAAGAGTTCGCTTTATTCGCTTGAGCGGTATTTTGGTCGCTCGAGTGGTGTTTTGGTTGCTCAAGCTGTCTTTTCTGCAGAGATAAACTTCTGGGAGTTTGGTTTCTTCGCTCGAGCCTAGGTTTGGTCATTCTAGCTATATATTGTGTTTGACGCTTGAGTGCAGGTTTCATCGTTCGAGCGGTTTCTTTGTATAAAGTTGCAAGGAAAGTCACTTTTTACTCACTTTTGATCTCTCTCTCTCTCTCTATAAAGATCTTTTTCCCCTTTTTTGCTCTCATCTCTCTCTAGAATCCTTATTTAAATCCTCCGATCTCGCTTGATCCATGGATTTCTTGATATTCATGCTTTGGGATTAAAGGTTGGGCTTGAAGAGAGGATCATTTTAATCTAAGAAGTTCAAGTTTCCGTGTCCATCAATTTTACTTGTTGTTCATCTTTTCTTCTGGTTTTGAGGTAGAGATTTACTTAATCGTTTGCATGTTATTTAACCTCGTTATGTGTTGGTTGGTTAAATTAAACTTTGGAAGAGGGTTTTGGGGATGTTTTCTTCAAAATATTGTGAGGTTGCTTATGATAATGGGTGGTATGTGAACTTGAGGAAAATTACTTTCAAATGAGAAATGTGAAAGAAACATATGCTGTTTTGGCATTATGGAAGTTCTTGGTAATTCTTGACTATGAACAAAAAGGGAAATTGATGAAATCTATAGAAGAATATTATGATTCTTGTTTGAGTTGGCAAAGAGGAGATTGAACATGTGATTGTTACTCCTATATTGAAAATATTGAAAATATGAAATTATAAGTTATATTTGTCTCTTAAAATCTATATATTGAACAGAGATAACTGTTTTGGCTATTAGTGGAGGATAGCATTACTTGTTGTAGAAATTACATAAGAACTAGGTTAACTAAAATCCAATCACTCATGCATTTCGTTTGGGCATTGGTTTCATATTTATGCATTGAAAAGTATTATTCTGAGAAAAATGGGTAAACACCATGGTAAATCTGTTTAGGGGGTGTGATTGTGGTTATTTAAGTTGGCACTTGTGTCCTTGGTGAAAGTCCAAAAATCCACGCGATTAGGATGTCTTCATTCTGGCTAGTTGCTAGTAAAGTGGCTTTGGTAGTGTTTTTATAGCCTACTTGCAGACACGTACCTAGAGATTACCACTGTGTGTATTTATTGCCATATTTATTGTTTTGAAGCAAAGACATATAAATTGTGATTTGAACTTTGGCATAGCATTGTTAAAAAAAAGGAAAATGCCCTTTTTTTTTTTTTTTTTTTTGTAATGGCATTTTATATGCATTGACCATATGGCTTGGTTAAACATCATACATGTCATTAAACTTCTCTCTACTGGGTTTTAGGTCACCCTATGTGGAAACCAATTTTTAGGTGCTGATGGTATGTCTCCGCTAAAGAAATAGCTTGGGAGGATATTGGAGCTAAGCACTTGTGTTCTTTCTTCTTCTTCTTCTTCTTCTTCTTCTTGTTCTTTCTTTATTGTATTGGGCTTTGACCCACTTTTGTTGTAACCAAGCAAAGTCTTGAAAATTTGTAGCCTTTGGGGTATGAACTTGTATTTATTTACTTTTGTTCCTATGTGTAGGTCACATGCTATATATTCATAATTCAGGATTGATGAATGTATTAATGCATATGATGTCTTTTGTAATACTTTAAGGAGGTGAATGAATGAATTATAGTTTTGGAAATGTTTATGATATTAAATGGTTAGGATTGTTAAGCTTCCACATGAGTGTTTAAGGGTTATGAGGTGCATCGGTTATCATTATTTTCAGGGCGTTACACAAGATTTTAGAAGACAATGCATATAACA